AAAAAAAAAAAAAAAAAAAACAAAAAAACAAAAAAAAAAAAAGACAAAAACACAAACAAAACACACAGACACACACAAAAATCAATATGAGGCCATCGTTTGATGTGGCACGAAATCCTACGACTTAAAACCTTAACACTAGGATCTCTTTCGGCGGTATAGGCATGTAGTACCTATCTTTAACAAGAAAGATCTAAGCGAATAGTTTGGGGGATCAACTTGTTTATTCACATTACCAGTAACGAACTTTCTTCAAAATTACACGTTTAGCACGTGCACCGGTAAATCAGTAAGTTTTTAGTTGGTAAAGCTAACTTACTTGGCTGGACCTCCAGTTCGACCTGTTTTCAGTTCGATACCGTTCCACACAATCTTATTATCCTCGCCGGTAGCAGGACATTTTCCGATGGTAAATATCAGCCGTCCATTAAATGCTCTTCTCAACAGGTTACACACTTCTAATCCGGTAATGGTGTGCGGAAGGTAGGCCGTGCAGAAAAACCCACCAAAACGCTCTCCTGGATTTGGGTGCTCTGCACCTGTAATAAGCGTATGTAAAAACATGTTAATCTTAAAACAAACTTTATTCAAGAAGCAAGCAGTTCAACTGGGTTACAACAAAGTAGGACTTAATCCCCACAACAAGCTGTACTCTATGTATGTATATTTTGAACGCAATCGTTGAAGACAAAACCACTCTAAATAAGAATGACAATAAAAACAAGATCACAATAATGACAATGACAACGATAATGACAATGATAACGATAATAATAAGGATAACGATAGCTCTAAATCAACGGTACCTTGAATTCCTCCGTTAAAATTAAAGGTTACGACAATGGTTCCAGATGTCTCGTAACCCGGGAGCGATTTACGTAACTCAGTTCTCCAGGTCATATATCCAACTGGCTGGTTCCCTGGAAACAGTTTCTCCTGTTTACACTGTGGACAAAAACCCAGCTTCTCAATAACGGAGCCGATACAGTTCTTGCAAAAGTAGTGACCACATGCAGATCCATAAACAGGATTTCTGTCCTGATTCAGACACGTAGTGCAGTCTTGAGAGATCATTTTGGGGTTTTCATTCGGCGCAAAGCTTGGTGCCGGATCTAAAATAATAATAAGATATCTTTAACAAGTTCAGATGGGAAATTTTAAAACCAAATGTATTGCCTTAAAACTAAAAAACAGAATCAAGAGAAATTAGAGAGCTACGTAGATGTCAAGACTTATCGTTTCAATAATGTATCTTAACCCTTGTCCTTCAAGAGATCAAGATTTTACTCGGTATGGTTGTGTAGTGATATAGAAATTTACAAATCAAGACAAAAGAGTTTTTCCTACCTGAACCAGCGTTTCCGCTAGATGCAAGGTTATCATCATCTTTGAGATTTCTTCTCTTGTTTACATTTTGTTGCTGAGTTATGTCGAGGTGTCTTTCGCTTTCTTCAGAAGTTGCTTGATCAACTTCCATATCCATTTCTGTGTCGCGTTGTTCATCTTCAGGACTGTGGGTACGCGTATTCTCATCGTTTTGATTTTGTTCACCCTCGCTATTAAAACCAGGGACTTCCTCTGGATTCGAGTTTGAGCGTCCTCCAGGTAGTTCTTCTTTCTGACGTTCTATGCCATGGGCTGAAGTTTGGTTTTCAGACTTGTTTACCTCTGTATCTGCTTCTTTGTCTGTTGATGGAGGATGGTTGATGGTCGAATCATCGCTGACTGCTTCAGAAGAATGTTTTTCAGCAAAACGTTTGCCTTCTTCCGTCACAGCCAGACCAGGTGAAGATACATTCGTATTATCATAAGTGACATCTCTTACTATCTTCACGTTGTCGACGTTGATGTCATATGCATTGTTTCGGGTACCTGCTTCAGCCTTTGGTTCTCCTTCTTCACTTGGCTTCCCCGGAAAACAAATTGCAAGAACTCTACCGTTGGATTGTTTCGATGTGGTGGTCCCCCTTATTTCTTTGGAACTTTCTGATGCATTTGAGCCTTGTTCACTGTCAACGCCACGTGTTGGAATTTCCATGTTTGGTGTTTCGATGCCTCTTGGGGTATGTAATTTACTCTTGCTATCTTCTTCAATGGATTTCGAAATCTGGCCAGGTGGATCGTTGCTGCTCATGCTTGGTTGGTCTCCCTGTGGAGATTTAGCCTGGTCAGTTTCTTTAGAATGGCCTTCGTGTGAAACCTCACTTCCCTTTCCTGACAACAACGACAGCTTATTGACATTGAAGCTAATGTTGGAGGAACTATGTGGCTCTCCCTCATTACGTACTGCATTTGCTGGAGTCGTCGCTTGAGAAGTGTAACGTTTCAGAAACTCCTCATGAAAGACGTTGATTGTTTCGTCGTCAATAATGACGATGCGAATGTCACGAAGAGTGCTGAATTCGGCTTCAACGCTTGAACTGAATGCCTCCACTGCGCCAAACATCTCTTTAGCGCAGATATCTTTTGGCATGCCAAAAATACCAGAGCTAATGGGTGGTAATGCGATTGAACAGAGCTCCAATTGTGCTCCAAGGCGGAGACTTTCAATGCACGCTCGGTGAAGAAGCGAAACGCATCTTTCTTCGGGAAAACTATTCCACCTAGGACCAACCGTGTGAATTACAAACTTGCTAGGAAGGGTGCCAGCCCTTGTATGAACAGCGTCGCCTACACTTAGTGGACGCCTTCCTCTATGTGCAATTAATCCATCGGATTCTTCTTGTATTTTGTGGCCACCTTTCCGCACAATTGCTGCTGCAACACCACCACCATGCTGAAGCCACTCATTAGCTGCATTGACAATAGCATCTGCGCTCTCGTCAGTGATATCACTTTGGTACAAGGAGAGCTTCACTCCATTCATCAGATCTTGGCTGAGTACTCGTGCTGAGGGTCTATTTGGGAAACTGGTATCGTTCTTTGTATTTCTTTGACCACGTCTTGTACCCTTACGGTTACCCGGCAGTAGTCCAAAGGTTTTCTTTAAGGCTTGCACTGCAACAGACATGTTTGTTTCCTCCGCATAGACGACCAACTTGTTTTCTTTCACCTCAATTACCACATTATTCTCAGCTTCCAAGGAGCAAATATCCATGGTAGTAAGTTCCTTGCAACTGGAAAGTTCTAATTCAATTTCCTCTCGACGCATCTTTAGATATAAGTCCTGGTAAAGATTTATGAACTCGTCACTGCCTTTATGGTAACTTTCCTTATCACGAACTGTTGTGGCTGGGCAAATCTGTACTTGAGTAGCATTTTCCTTCCAAAGAATATTTACGCCATATACATCTTTTATCTCTTTAAGTCTCGTCTCGTAAACTCGAAGTAGAAGCTTCATCAGAAGAGGCTGCACCTCGAAGCTGCAGATATCATCGGTAGTGGCTTCTTTTTCTGAGGTTCCTGAACAATTTCTCTTTCTATCAGTATGCTGGATTATCATCCCTTCACCTCCTTTAGAGCCTCCTTTCAAAATGCCTCGAAGGAGATTGTGTGCGGTGTTAATTTGGTCGAACGTTCCACCGAGAATATGTTCATTAGAAAAAGGGCTGCCAATGCTTTCGACGTTTGCCTCATCCTTCATGTCTTTCAGTGCGTTGCGCGATGTCTCGAAAAAAGTATTGAACTTACTGGAGTCAATACGAGCCATAACTTTCTGAAAAACCTATGGAAATCGCAAGGAATCGTAAGAATTGCATAACTTAGAATACTGAGACGTAATTGGTCAGAAATAAATAGGGTAATAGTTGTGGAACTTTAATGAGAACATGGAAATCGAAGCACTATGGACACAAAAAAGGATAAAAATTTTCAAACGTTTGAAGTGAATCATATTTTGATGGGTAGATGATAATAAATAATGAACTGAAAGGAAGGAATGCTAGAAAAAAGAGCCTAAAAATATCAAGGTTTCAATGTGGTTTAAACAAGAATGTCTTACTTTTCCTCAAATTGTGGTTATTAGATCACATAACACTCTCTGATATTTATTTTTACCTCCACAGGATGATCTGGAACTAATCCACAAACTTTTAATTGAGGTGATGATTTCTCAAGTGTGTGGGACTTCTTCAAGACTGTTGCCATGACTGTGCATGTAAAATGACATAATAATAATAATTATAAAAAAGAAGAAAAATGAGACAAATAGTTTAAAGTGGAACAGTTTATACCTTGCAGAAAAGCAGTAGGTTGCATTTTATCTTGTGACTTCTTTTTTTCTGGTTTTGTGAAATGTATTGTGATTGAATGCAACTCTGTCTCCTTCCCTCGCTTAACACATGAGGTACAAAGTTGAATGTAAAATAATTATATTCTCTATGTCATGTTTTAAGTATTTCACGATACAGTTTTTTTTTCAATAAAGGATGTAGAAGGGAAGACTTCCTCAAGGGTGATGCAACATATATATTTAAAAAAAGATCAAGCCACTCCAGGTTCAGATATTACAAGATAACTATGTAAATAAAACTGCAGTATTGAATGGGATTGGATTTTGAAACAAATAATTAAATTTCCTCCTGTTTTGTCTCAGTTGTATTTAATCCTACATATCCAAAACAGCTCTACTGATTTAAAGTAAGTGATTTTTTTCATTCCACAGGAAACCTGGTGTATTCTATATTGTCTCAATGAAGAAAGTGACATGAAAGATAACAGCACATAAGTTTTGTAGGGTGAGTTCACAAATTGAGGGACCATAAGAAAATCATTATTCCAATTTGACACAGATATCAAATCTTAACACACTATAAGCAAAATAGTGCAGGTTTATGGACAGCAGTGTTTCAACACTGCATCATCTTTAGCCTACTCCCCCCTGTTTCATAACCTGATGTAATTACAGTTCTCCATTCTACTATTTCTCTCTTGTATGTAGAGATCTTTTAATATTTCGACTCACAATAGGACGCTAAATTTCAGAGTTTGTTTATTTCTCTCGTTTTCTTTCGTCTTAGTGTAAAACTATCACCTTTAAGTGATGAAGCCGGAAGTAAGAACTAAGTGAATGAGCTCGACTTGGATTTTCATAGTCGTAAAATGTTTGTTTGCACAAACCAACAGCGTGCCTAAAACAAGAAATATATGCAAACCTTCACTTCCTTCGAAAGTAATCACGGCTGTTCCTGCCTTAGAAACGTGTATTCGTTCGATTTCTCCTCCACCATTTCCTTTCTTCTGGAAATGTATAAGGACTGATTCAGCTGAGATGTTCGGCGGGATGTTGGAGACCACAATACTTCTTTTAGCTTCGTCTTCACTTATAAGCAGTAGACTAGGTTTATCTGTCTCTTTTCGGTCAAAGATAACAGGCATTTTGGAAAAAACCAAGCCCACATGAAACTTAAATCGAGAGCTAAAACCTTCGAGAACGCTTTCGATTCTTGGAAAGAGAATGAGGGAGCCTGGGACATAGCCAATTTATACGGAAGTGGCCGTACAAGTCATCGAATTGTTTTCGATATCTGATCACCACAAGCTAACCAAGAATTGAAAGCCTTAGTAAGTTTAAAAAAAAGAAGCGTTTTTCCCAACTGGCTTTCCCAGCAGCAATATGCAAAAGCATCTGTGACATGATCCAAAAATAACAAGGAATTCCCGGAACCGTTAATGCTTCCGCTTTCGGTTTCCTAGAATTCACCTATTGTTGTTGATCGCTAGGTTCTGGTTCCTCATCAGAATTTGGACGAATATGGAGGAGAAACTGTCGCACTGCAAGTCATCCAGTGGCACTTTGTTTTCGTTGGTGGACGGGGACATTCACATTGACCCTATACAAGCTAATCGTAGCATAAGTGTAACTGGCATTCCTGAGGGAACCAAAGCAGCAGATCTTGTTATTCACTTTCAACGCAATAAAAATGGCGGAGGCGATGTCGATGGCATTATAACGAATAAACAAGGATCTGCAGTTATAACATTCGAAAAAGCTGAAGGTAAGGCATCTGTGCCAGAATGTAGTCTTATCGTAGGGTTAGCACCCACTTGTTTTGTTAAAACTGTTGTTTCAGTTTGGTCCTTCGAAATGTTGTCTAATAGTAATCGCTCATAAAACGAAAGTGCGAATATGATGCTAATTTGTTTGTGAAGAGACTGTTAAGAGAAACGGCTAATTTTTCATAGTATTAAAGTGGAAACATCAGAACGCTGGTAATAAAAATTTTTGATTCAAGTAACGAAACAAAATTTCACAGTAGATCGATGCCTATATGCGTATATAATTAACAATTATTCCACGAGCGCGCGTTTGATATGAGATGATAGATAGCCAACGAGGCGCGTAGCGCCGAGTTGGCTATAATCATCTCATATCCAACAAGCGCGAGTGGAATAATTGTTTTATTAAAAACGCCCCCAAGAAATTATTATTTTGTAAGAAGAAACTGGATTTTTTAGCTCCCTTTTGATTTTAAGCTGA